AGGATATTTTCCAAGAAGTTTATGAATCAAACTGGAAATCCAAGTTCGAGGAAGCAGGGATATGGTAAGCTGTTCCTACCTGTTATCTTAGGCAATTTGGTTTTAGAAAATATTTCAAATGTCACTGATTGCTGCAATTGTATTATGAAATTCATAGGTATGAGCACCGCCTGATCGACGATATGGTTGCATATGCTCTAAAGAGTGAAGGAGGGTATGTTTGGGCTTGCAAGAACTATGACGGGGATGTTCAGAGCGATTTCTTAGCTCAAGGTATTAGGGACAAACTTTTATAATCTCAAGGCTACATTAAATGCGCAAATATCATATGATGCTCTTCTTGTGACAGAGTATGGGTAAAATAGTATATTATTGAGCATGCCGTTATTTCATTTTTAACTTGAGTAGCTATTACAACCTCAAATTTCTCGTTGTATTCTTGCAGGTTTCGGATCTCTTGGGCTGATGACGTCAGTTTTGGTATGTTCGATTCTCTTCAATGAGTTTTATCTTGATTTTGCATTTCCTCGTGTTCTATTATCATTTTTGTTACTTTGCAATTTTATTTCCATGTTAAGTTATCAATCTTGATGATTTTTTTTTAGCCCCCTGTACTCTTAACCTGCAATTTTACTCTCTGGCTTAACCGAACTGCATTGATGACTTAATAGTATTCAACTTTGAAATTTGTAGACATCTTAAGTTAAGAATCTAATAGATTTGTGGTTTTCATTCAGGTGTGCCCTGATGGAAAGACTATTGAAGCTGAAGCAGCTCATGGAACTGTCACACGCCACTACAGAGTTCACCAAAAAGGAGGTGAAACTAGCACAAACAGCATTGCTTCAATCTTTGCTTGGACTCGGGGGCTCTCACACAGGTAATGAATTTGGTTTTGAGTCTTAACAGCTTATTATAATGAAATTCATTATTAAATATCCTTTTGGCTGCACAGTTTATTGGTTTCCTACCATGAAAAAAATAAAAAAATAAATAACAAGCAAGCAAAATGTTTAGGGCAAAATTGGACGACAATGCTAAGCTCCTGGATTTCACTGAGAAACTAGAAGCAGCTTGTATTGGTGTAGTGGAGTCTGGAAAGATGACCAAGGATCTTGCCCTTATCCTCCATGGATCCAAGTGAGTGACCATATCTTTTTCCTCAGTCAATAAGTATCTAGTTCTACTCAATCACTGCATGCTCTTTTATAATGTTACAGGCTCAACCGAGACAAATATCTAAACACTGAAGAGTTCATCGATGCTGTGGCAAATGAGCTCAAAGCAAAACTTTCTTGCTAAGCATAAGCGTATGTGATTGTGTCGAGTTTGACATTTTCACTAATTTATTCTATTTACCAACTAATATTTCGTTGTTTGCCCTTCTCTGGTTCCAGGTCTGGAATGTCTCGAACGAAAACTATCTGGTGGTCGGCGATTTGCCAAGAAATAATTGGGTCACGGAAAGTTCTTGAGGGTTTTCCTGTTCAGGACTGTTAATCTTCATTTTGCTAATGCCCTTCTAAATGTAATTGTGAAATGACAATTTAGAACAGCTGCTGAGGCAGGCACAAGGTTTACACTTTACATTGGAAGAAGCACGAGCTTATCCAAAACCATTCCGAAACTTCTATAATTCATCATTTTTAATCTTTTGTTGTCTTTCTTTTCTGTTCTCTTTCGCAGTGTCCTTCTGGCTCGAACTTTGTTGTAAAAGCAAATAAATTAATGATGCATATAATGAAGTTTCAAAGTTGCCTCCCCCATCTCTAAATGTTAAAATTGAACCCTATTTGTCGGGGAGTAATGCTATTTAGAACCATTGATAAGGTGCTAAATTCTATGCTTAATTGGACTTGTAACATGGTATGATGTTGTAGCACATATATTGCTAGATAGCATTATTCATTTGTTGGTGTTTTCTTCAATGGTATGATATAGCTGTCCCGATTATTCATTCAATGGCTATGAAGTGGTAGATTTACACGACTTAAGTGAACGAATGGTGTTAGATAGCATTATTCGTTATCCTTCCAAGGTCAACAGGGTCATTTTCCATATTAAGTGAACGAACCACCACAATTATATTACATTTTCTAAATTGCTTTATAAGTCACATAAACAGGTTTTAACGACATCCGTTGGATGCTTCTCAAGTTTTTCTTGCATTTCTAGGTTAACCGGGTAGAAAGTAAAATTGCATTCACAAACTGAGAATATGTACAATTTGTAGTCAATGTCCAGTCATGCACAAAAATGCAGAGAAATTCTTTCTTGAATCATAAAGAATCCTGAGTTCCTGGCTTTTTGGGTTTGTTCATTGTAAATTCTTTCACTTTTTGATCTATAAAGTTCTTCTGTGCTTGTCTGGGAATGTTGGGATTGAACTTCATTAAATCATAGTATCTGATTTCCTCTTATTTCTTGTGAACTTCAATACTTACATCAAAGCTACTGTAGGTACGTTGTGGGTTACATCTACACCATTGATTTTCCCCGCACTTTTTCTATCAATGCGCAGGGAATGTCATGCAGATTATTCTACTTACATTTCTCGTCAGATTTTGTTATTTTTCCCTTATATTAAACCTGTTTATTGAGCCCCAACTCAACAAACTGGTAACAGAGCATGCACTTGAGATGCTCACGAGAATGCGTTCATAGTGCAATGACTTACGCACAAGAACTGAAAATATGTCTATTGATAGCTCAGTCAATTCAATAGCCTTCTTTACATCATCAATGTTTATCGTATTATAACCTGCAGTTTTCCCAGGCATACAGCAATACATATGTTTGAGCATCCTCAGACTTTCCATAAATAAACACACGGGGCACTCAGGAATGTTACCCCTCAAAACTGCTCCAATCTTTCGAATTGAATTGCTACCTTTCACTATCTTGGCCCCAAACACTTACGATCTACACTTCAGGGATAAAATTTCCCAAATTCTTATTAGGGAAGCAAATTCATAACTGCTCTAATGAACAGGCTATTAAGGTGATGTGAAAAGAGGGAACAAATTCCTAATAAGATTGCCAGCTGATGATGCTAATTGTCCCAACCTTGTAGACAACGAGCGTCTCATGCTCTCCACATAAGAAACCAAGTCCATTATTTCTGTAGAATGAAATGTACAAGTTATTATATATTCCAGTTAATACTTGGCCAGTTAGGAAGCAAAATGGTGTAAATTTCCTCACCAAGCAGTAGCCTAAATTGTATATATTTGATGCCCATCTCAAATCTGGAGAGCGCAACAATTACAACAGAATCTGAAGTCAAGGCATCAGAGCAATTAGTAAGCATACACTCCCAAAATTATCCAACATGCGGGTCAATAATGCAGAAAGGTTCAAATAAAGACTACGAGATAATCCCAAGCATCTCAGGGACATCATTCTACAAGTTTTAAGGCAGAAATTTCAATTCCCTAATAAAATGATGATTTTGGACACTTCGATATTTCAATCAAAGAATGCATTAAAATCTCCTAGGCAAAATCAGTAAATAATGCCCTCCCAAATCCATGTATGAGTATGACCATTTCTGGGGGACAAAATCGCCTGTCTACTGTACCATGGACTATATCGATTTGGTTGACTACTTACCTATAAGTTTGGGATGAAGATCTATTTTTCCTCTATATAAGTACCAACTCACCAAGGAGCATATTAATTATGTGCTTTTAATTTTAAGTACGGTTTAAAATTAGTTTTCGAGTTTCCAGTAATTAACAACACCTATGGTTGATCCCAAGACTGATTAAAGGAGGTTTGCTATAAGTTGAAATACCCCTACTAATGATGCATTGTACAGAAATCCAAGTGTAGTGAAGTTGGGGTAAACAGAGAACACATACCATAGCCTTGCATAGAAGAGGTGAAATAAATAGTCATTGATTTAGGTTTATAATACGAGCTTGTAGAAGTTAAACTGCTCAAGAATAGGTGACTTTTTCAGGAAAAGAATTATTAGCACTTATTCTCCACATGCATGTGACTGATGTGAGTCCAGGCTTAAAATATTTACTTAATAAGTCAGTTTATAAAGTAAATAATTTTTTTACTGATCACAGTGGAAATATGCTACTTATTTTGATAGCAAAGTAAGAGTTGCTTTCAAATAAGTAATGATTTACTTCAGTAAGAAAAAAAGTCATTCAACCAAATTTGGAGAAAAAGTCACTTAAGAACAAGTGTGACTTTTTTTAAAGCTTAGCCAGACAATACTACAAACAATGATTTTAAAAAGACATGGATGGGTTGATTCAAACAATCTTTAGCGAAAATATGATCATTCTTGGGAGATAAAATGCTTCAGCAAAGGTAATTCAAAATACAGGAGTAAGTGCAAATTTTGGCTATGATTTCTTGATTAGGATACAAGGATGACAATTGCCAAAATGAAACGTGGTGCAATGAGAAGGTTCGGTGACAGTTACGACTGAGAGAATGTTATAAAAGCTTACCAAAATACAAAAATTCTGTGGTTTTTGAAACAGATACTGGGAAAAAAATATAAATAAATAAATAAATAGAGAAAAGAAACTTGGAAGTAGACTAGATTAATTCCTAAAATTTGAGAAATTAAAAACATAGTCCAGGTCAGATTGGCACATCAAAGTAGTTAGTCTACAGCTCTTTCCTTAACTAATACGTAAATAAATAGAGCTTGAAAATTTGAAATTTTTGCATGCACGACAAGCTCAACTGATTAATTGGGTTCAACAATAAGATAAGGGGAAAAAAAGAGAGATTTAAGGGAGTAAAAATGTTTACATTCTTACACTAGCTCATTTATCGATTAATTTAATATAAAACCTGAGAGCAACAGCTGTTAATTATTTACATAATCAAACAACTCAATCTTTAAATAAAGCAAGAGAGTACAAATTCATATTCTCTTACCTGCAAATTTTATGGATATATTTGGTGATGAACAGAATTAATTTCAAATTTTTTAGTGGTACCAATGTTTACCTGATTCAGAACTTGCCCGTTGATAGAGGCCACGTAATGCACATTTAGCATAAGCCATTAGCCGTACTCGTTGAGGAGCTTCCAACTTGCTGATCAAAGACCTTAGCAGTCCGCTGAATAGAAGAGAAGAAAGCAAGGAATAATAAAACGAAGTAGCATTTCTTTCACAAGAGTAGAAAAAAGCTAATCATTCTTACTCAGTTCGTAATACTGTAAGAAAGTCAGGCGGCAATGATTCCATAAACGAAGATAAGTCCTCCATCTTTAGAGACTTCAATTCCTGCTTGAGATATTTTTTCTCTTCAGGTGACATTCCTCTCCCAAGTGCAGATTTACTTGTAAATCATTTGAATGAACCAGAAATTAGTTCCAGATACACTAAATATCAGCAAATTTCGCAATGTAAAAAGAAAAAAAAAATTTATATGGTGCTGCAGTGTCAACTTCTTATGAAGAATTAGTTGACAAAATTGTCAGTAGTCCATTAATAAATCAAATGAAGCTTCCACAAGTTCTTGCAACATATTCCAATTCCCATTTTCGTTTTCCTTGGATCTGGCCATTTATGAATCATTTAAGTTCCTTCTTTAAGCAACTAAGAATATTCTATTCTAAAATAAACCTGCCACTTTCCAATTTCCACGTTATCCTTCTTATTTTCTTACAAGTATATCTAACCATTTCAATGGTTACACAAATACACGGGCCAGTCGATACAGTCATAAAGGAAAATCTGCAGGTAGTTTCCCAGGAAAATATCCATATGTTTTTCAGCAAAAATTTACGGTCTATTTTTTCTTAGGATCGTTCTATGTCCATGGTATCTAAGGCTCCCAATGCACTTTGGATCATCAACTCTGGAACTAATATTATAATTATACTATAATCAAAGAATACAAAGGTTTTGGCCCAGGTTGTAACAAACTTTATAAGGTTCTCTATACAACACTCCAGGTGTTGAAATCCTTTTCAGCAACAGTAGCAGCAAAAGTAACATTTAAAACAAAGAGTCATCAATTACCCTGTCAACAATATGAACACACAATTCCATAATTTCAAACAGAAGAATCAGTAGACAAGACTGACTACGAGCTTGAAGACCAGGTAGAAAACATAAAAAGCTTGCAATGATCTAACGAGGCTAAGAAAAAAATTTCTGGTGAAAACAGAGTGGTTAAGCCAGCAATATGAGATCATTGAGGTCTTGGTTCCTCAGTTCCATGATTCTTCCCTCTTTTTCCTTTCTGGCTATTATTACCAATGTGATAAAATTTCTGGTGTGTATCCATTGTATCTTCATTTTTTATTGTTCAGATCTAGAAAGACAGATTCCAATAATAGTATCTCAAAATATCATTCAAGCGGAAGTGGCTTGATTACTGGTTATTAGGAATATGTCAAGTTCATAGCATTATAAACAAGGAAACCCAATTATCATCTTGGCATGGAGAATAAAATAGCACAGGAGGAAGAAAATATATGCGAATGTAATGGAAAATTAAATTATTTTAGTTTTTAATGGACTTATACCTATGTGAATAAAGAAATACACAAATAGATAACCACGCCATTGAAAGACAATCACCTGTTAACTGTTCTTCCTGTGAATATGACAGGGAAGTATCTAGAGTACTTCCCAACACCAAAGTTTTCACCCAGCTCCTGTATTTTCTTTGAATCCATTAGAACCATAGCCTTCCAGAGTTGACAATGGGACTGTCTGAAACCTTCATCCAGTTGTTTATAGATCCCATGATCTAGAAGAACTACATTTATTTACATATTGCAATAAGAATAAACAGTAGATGTTTTCTTCTCCATTAAAAAGGAACATAACGCTAAAAGTATCAACCTATCATACCTAAAGAAAAGCCACCTGGCCCCTCTGGAGAAATTAATATATTACCAGGATGTGGATCCCCGTGCAGGAAACCATAGACAAATATCATCTCAGCAAAGACTTCCACTAGGGCTTTTGCCACCTAAGCAAAAGAAAGGAATGAGATTACGAGAGAAATGATCCTGTAGCGGAACAATTTCTTGATTTAAGAGTTTAAATTATCTACTCCATTTTAGAGAATCAAAATTGTGCAATTTTAACCAGAAATACAAAAAGTATAGTATCATGTCACTTACAATAATTATACTTTTTCCAAGTAGATAAACAAACCTTAAGTGGACTAATTCCCATTCGCCTTAGATAATCCAAGTCATCAACCTGAAATCTAACGAGTTTCCATTTAGCAGCATATAAGACTAAAGTCAAGCAAATCACCACCATGAGTGTATGTCAAAGGATCAATCTTTATGCATAAAAATTTACTGGTGTGTACCCAAAAAAGAAAAGAAAAGGTTACAACCAACAAGACGTTCAATGTTTCAAGCGACTCTCAAGGAAATCATAACTAAACAAACACTGATAGATTCTTCACCAAACTTAAAATCCAGTTGAAAGAAATTTATCACAGCATTCCATTCTTTTGCACTAAAAGCTATACCAGAATGTTTAGAACACAAAACTAAAGCAAAATTTGTTTCTTCATATGGAAGAACTATCAAGTGGACTATATAGACATGAACACACGTTCCCTGATATCATAAAATAAATCTATGTTTGCACATGTTATTTGCAGAATCCTGAAATAGTTGATCCAATGACCACGATGCTCTCGTAAAAAATGGGTAACGCATACCATGACTATCAGATGCCAGTTACAGGTGACCAATTAAAGAACTATCATGTTTCACACGGAAGTGTAGCAATTGAAAGGACAAGCCTTCTGTATACAGATGAATGGTATGTGGTTGCATGGCAGTTTGATTGTCTATATTGAGAATGGTATATTTGATGAAATTGATAATGATGCAATTATATGAAGTTTTGTAATTATGAAAATACGTAGGCAATAATTGTAGTAACGTATACAAATATCTTCATTATTGATATATTGTTTCAAAATTGCTACTTCAAATTTGGCCACTCAAAGAGCAACCATAGTTCGACAATGTTAAATATAGCACATACCTTCTGTCCTTTACAAAATTGCATAGTCAAAACCTGGCTGCTTGTGAAATCCTGGAGATGTGATCATGGTAGTGAGCTTAAGATGAGAAATATATTTGAGGAAACCAATATTCTGTTAAAAACTGATACAAAACAATGAATCATAACCTGAAAATCATATCATACCCAGAAAATGCGTGGGATCCTGAGCACACGGTGGTTCTCGAAATTTTTGGCAGTTCTTTCTGAGTTTTTAGCTTCTTGAACGAAATCTGTACAGCAGTTAAAATATCAAAATGATCTAGCAAACTAAGAAATTAATAGAAAGCAATTACAATGAATTTCTTATTATTATTTTTTTTGGCTGAATCTAAGAATGATACGTTGATCAAAATCTGCAGTGCAAAATATGACTTCAGTACAAAACTCAATAATAAAAAACAAAACCACCAAAAATATTTATAGAAGGAAGAAAATAGTGCACTAGTTATTGGATACATGCATGCAATATCAAAGACAATAAATCTCGGTGGTCAACATGTTCTGAGGACGGAAAATAACTAAAGCTAATAAATATGACAATATCTAATGAAAGGTTCCAAAGTCAACAATGGCTCCTGACAAACAGAAGCAAATATATCAATTTTCAAAAGAAAGATAATAAGAATCTGTTATACTGCATCTCACTATTCAATTTCCTTGCCAGAGTTCTACAAATAACGTCGAATAGTATTTTATTCTTCAACATTTTCTTTCATTAGAAAAGATTAGAACCAAAAAAAAAAATAAAATAAAATAAATAAATAAATAATAATAATAATAATAAAATCGATATTAAACAGCATGTCAGTATTGTACAATACATCAAATGAAAACAAAGTTTATGGAACAGACTTTGCCTACATTTGGCTAATGTTATAAACCATTTATAAATACTCAAGCCAATTTTTGTCCATATATTTGAAGGATTCACAAGTATTATCCACTTATCTACCACTTATTTCTATCTATTTATAATTTAAACTACTTATAAACACTTCTCAAACATACTTTTAGTCTGTCTAAGAAAGGGATATGACACTTCATTCTAATGGTCCTATCCTGTAAGTTTCCTGGCCATAGTGAAGGTCAATATCTGTAGAAGGGAGATGGAAGGAAACCTTGCAGGATGCAGATCACATAAGATCCAATGAACGGATGGAAACAGGTTAAACTCAACATAATACAGCCATATTAAAAAATTTGTATCAACACCAAGTTCTTTGTAACAAGTAACCTTACTCAACATTACTCTAGGATTTCAACTTAGAAAACTAGATTTGTGCATATCACCAGAAAAACCTAAAAAGTTTGCATATTTCCTATAAGATAGCAAAGATTTCTCACACAACAGTATATTATTCCAACAAACAACATGGAAATGAAACAATTTCCAGAAATCTAAATCTAGAATCCAGTGTCACGATATAACTCACCAAGTTCAGAAGCTATAGATTTTGCAAATTCTGACACCATCCAATCGAACCTATATTCAGGAAAAAACTGGGAAAAGAAGCAACACAAAACCTTTGAAGCCTGAAGCCATATTAGGGAAAGAGCCAAAGAACTTGAAATATTACATTATGGTCCGGTGGATTATTGTCACCAAATTTGAACATCTCCATGCATAATTTATTATTAGAAGATAACCACTCAACCTAAAGAGGGTGCTTGACATGCCCCTTCATCTAATTCTATTGGAGTTTAAGCAACAGTATGAACATGTGACTTCTGAAAGAAGCCCAACATCATTGGTTTCTCAAATATCATCAGTAAAAGAAAATAGATGCAATGAAACATGAATGTTGATTATTTATTAATGGAGGAGTTGGCCAACAATGACAGTATCTATGGTTGTAGGAGCCAGAACAGAAATTAGCGATGAATAGGTAAAAGGTTAGGTAAAAGGTTTTCCGTATTTTATTTAGGCGAAAAGTTATACTTTTTGCAGATGATTTTTCTGACCCTGATGGATAAAACACGATAATTATTGAAAGATTTGGTGTTCTATGTTTTGGAACTTGAGGCTTTTATAAGGGAGACAAAATGAACTTGGGAACTGATGATGGCAGTGCCATTGGAGGGAGTACGCTCATTAGCCATCATTGCTGGTTATCGAAGCTCATAGGCATGTGAAAAGGAATGACAGATATGGCTGTGATCACTAGTGATGGTGTGTCTAAATTAATCAGATGGTGTTACATTTTGTTGTGCACTGAAAATTTTCCTCTTTACTCCCACCAGAAGCATGACGGGTTACTTCTGAACTTGCCCAATTTCGAATAAAATTAGGCAGAACACAAGTATTGGTCCATTTTTAACTGGTCAATGATTGAAGTACACCTGGTGAAGAGATGCGACAAGAACCTTTTTTATGAATTTTTCTAACAAAAATATTACTGCTCTACCCTCCTACTGTGTGAATGAAAGAACTGAGCAAGTGCCATAGCAAAAAAAGGTTCTTCCAAAGTTGAGTCATGTTTGCACAATATTTTTGGTAAATACACTCTCCCATCAATCATTTGAACGTAGGTGACAAGACACTAATGAACCAAAAAGGGGGGAAAAATGAATTTAATTGAAATTCACATGTTTGAAACTTGAGCTACTCATTATCCACCAGCTTCAACATTGACTACAAACTTTATCATAACATTGAGAATGTATGTTAAATAATCTTAAACAGAGTGCACATATCAGGAATATGTGCTGATTTCTAACTGTGAAATTTTTTGTCCTGCCAACACACTCCTGCCTAGCTACTTGCCAGCCACATCTAATTTGAAGCTTCTGGTAATTATCATCTATCACTCCTATTTACAAATTCCATGTCAATACATGATAAGCAATATGGCCTATAAGCTTCAGGCAGTGGAGGAAAATAGAGGAAGGAAGACAGTGAATCAGATAGCAATATATCATCGATCATTTGCTTTATTGGCAATAATTGCTGATGAATTATTCCGCCTTGTTATAAGCTTTAGAACAAAAAATTATTTTAGCACTCATGTTCAAATTAAGTTTGGCATTCAATTACATGCCAATTTCTAAAAAAGGGACAAATTTGAGAGGCATGGTTCATGTGCTAACTGTTCATGATAGATTACATATTACAAAACAAAAGAAAAAGTTGGAGATGGCCAATTGACATTTTAAGTAAACGAAACCTTTAATTCTTACCCATGAAACTGATTTAGAGAGGAAATCCATGGTTGCAATGTCAAATTTCATCTGATATCCTAATCCTGGATATTGCACCTGTTGTTCAGATAATGCAAAGAAAGCCTGAGCATTCATCATTCCGTTATGATTTGTCCAACATACTTAAAGAAACGGAAGGGAGTTCAAGAGGTCTAGCGACATTAGTGTTGATGCCACTGAATAGCTAAGTAAAAAAGAAAATTGGTTCAAGATAACAGAAAAAACGGATTATCACCTATTAAAGCACACACATCTAAGTCTAAGCTCAATCTAATGGCTAACACCAATATGAGAACATGGCTATATTTGATAGAAAGTTAATGACAAGAACAGTTCAGATTTTTTAAAGCCTATAATTGGCAATATGATACAATAGAAGGAGATTGCCATAGTTAATTAGTAAAAGATCATATAAAAGGTTCACTTATAAAAGCACTTATTCAAATCAAATTTCCACATAAAGAAGCTGGCTCTACAAGTTGGTGTCCCACGTGCTAGAAGTCCTGATAATGGAATAGTCCTGGTCTGTGCCACCAGGAATCCAGGTGCTCAATATCATTTCTATTTAGAAAGACATATTTGTTCATTTCATTATAGTATGTTTTCCTCTTTACGTGAGAACCATGTCAACTAAAAGTTCGAAGGCCCAGAATTATATTACGCTTCAGCAAATGCAGATAAGTAACCATCCACCCACCACGCACACCCAAAAATACAGCAATGTTGATGTAGGAAAATCCAACAATAGGAAAAGGTCAATAGTGTTGCCAATGCACAAGAATTTTTTAAAATAAAGTAATTCATTAATTCATATCACCACAAACCGCAGACACAATCAAAATTGGGATACAATCAGTCAAAACTAAGCACAGCAAATGGAGCAAGTCGACGAGAAACTCTATTCTCCTTACGAGGAATAAGACGATACTCCCTATTACCCACTTTGATGCAAACTAACAATATCTGAGACAATTAACGCATTGGAGGCAACATTACAATTAATGCACAAGTATATTCATATCTATTGTTGAATATCCTCATATAGAATAATAGAATACGCGATTTAAACAGGCGTAATTTCATTGGCAAACCTTGACTGCCACTTCCTGATTGTCTTTCAGTAAAGCATGGTGTACTTGAGCAATGGAAGCAGCAGCAACTGGTTGCTCATCAAATGAGATGAATCTGATTATCATAGATACAGAAGTCAACAAAGTCATTATGGTTTACAAGTAGAAATTGATAAGCAGAGAAAAATTCATGCTTGCTTATTGTGGAATAAGGAAAGCTAACAAGGTCAAGGTTGGAAGCTTATGCCATTTGTGGAACACAATAGTTGCAATCAAGCTCTAAGCTTTAATTTTAGAGACAATGTAAATTTCAAAATCAAATTTTGAGATTCCTGTCATGAAATCTGCATTCAAATAGCTAAGTTTAAGAACTTTTCCTTCAGATATCACATGCAAGTTATTCAAGAAAATAGCTTTATCAAAAATGCTGCAGCACTGATCTCAGATACATCCAAAAAATTGTTATGCCCTAATTGACACTGGCCTATAATCTTTCATAGCATTTTGAGTTGATTTTGATCAACCGAGAGAGTTGGGATGAATCCAAACTTCTGCAATGTATACAAGGAGAGAGTTTCCTTTTTTTTTTTTGTGTGTGTGTGGGGG